ATGATTGCCCAAACGTTTATTGTGCGTCAGAGACCGCGAAATACGTTTCCCGACGTTAGCGACAATGAAGCACGTTTTTAAGGTTATTTTATCATACAGAAACGTTTTTAGTCACGTAAGTTGTCATAAAACACACTTTCCATTTGCGTTCGTTTCTGTAAAATGCTTCTTTAAACCCAAACGCTGCGTTCTGAAAAAAGGAGCTGTCAAATTCTAAGTTCTTACATGAACATTCTTTAATAAATTTTTCCGCTTGATGCGCATGCACGTGTCGTACGCAACTTATAGTTGCGTACGACGTATAACGTATATAGTTATAGTTATATAACTGATAGTTATATACCTATAATGATGTGATAGTTGACGTATAGTATATAATTATAGTTATAACTATAACTATAAGATATAGTTATAGTAGATTTTAATAAACATTAATTTAATCTAATCTACGTGTTAGATTTAGTTCGATGCTGGCACTCGACTTGCCTGGTTGAAGGGAATATTCGGTACGTGTTTAGTTAGGAAGCTCGATCTAAATATTTACACTTGCTTCAAGTTTTTGGTGTGTTTTTATTCGAAATAAAGTATATAACTTATCTTATTTGCGCTATGTGCAGTACTAATTTATGAGCAATTATATTTATATCGTAGTATGTTTATTTTGCAGATTTTTTTCAAGTTCAAGAAAACTCGCGATTTCAATCCCTTCGTGAACCAATAAACTTTACAGGAGCCGTATGTTATATCATATAATATGATCAAATTATATAATATAATGTATTAGAGTAATATGAAGTTAAAAATTAATAATTACTGTCCGTTAAAGTAATATGTCAAGATTACATTTCCTTCAGTTGCTCTCAACTAAAACGCGAACGTTTCAACTTTCGCGAACATTTGCTTTTGTTGAAATTAAGGAGCAAATCTGAAGAGGTTGGACAGTCTCGCGCTATCTCCCATCACCGGAAAACGTGACCAGCTACACTGCCTCATTTAGACTTAATTAAAGCGTGTTAACACGTTGACTACGATTGCTTCATCTTCATCATTATTTCATTTTTTTGTACGTACTGTTTTTAAACAGGGTTGCCAGACGGTCATTTTTTTCCGGACAAATTCCGTGATTTAGTTTTTCTCAATTGCGTTGGCCGGCTAAAATTTATGATAGGGGTACTTCCTAATTAAATTTTAAATACTGCAAAAAGAAAATGAATGGAATTTTTATAGTGGAACCTACAAAAAAAAAAACTAGTATATTTTGAGTCATCGGCCTTTTTTGGCCTTTTTTGTTCTCGGATTTGGCCAATTTTAGGCAACCTGAATTATATACCACTACGTCCTGGAGAAATACATTTCGTGGTACGTATATGTACCACTTCGTAGTCAACGTGTTTGCTAATATGCTAAACGATACGTTATAATTAAGAAATTTATGGAACAAATTGAAAATCAATTTTAGAATTTATTTTGTTTTAAACGCTGCAGGGAGGAAGCTTATAAATAATATTTTGTATGTGGTACGTCATTTCTGAATTTTCAGAAGATGGGTAAAAATTTTAATAAAATAGTGATCGCTTGTGAGAAGGAAATTACCAAATAAGGTTCAAATTACATCTATTTTATTCGGGGTTGAAAATGGTTCGATCTTTAGACAAGGGACGACTGCGCGAGATATACGAAGAAACTGTTACTGATGTTTCACGAAACGCATTAAATTATTCAATTTTTGCACTGATAAAGCCTATACTCGATAGGCTCAGAACATTATTGTGTTTGTAAAACAACGTTCACGCGTTTCCGGATTATGAACATCAAACAAATTGCACGTGTATCAAAATCACCAATGCAATATAATGTATGCGCGTATAACGATTATTAACAAAATAAAATGGGAGAGTATCCTGATATTATGAATGTTGAACAAAATGTACGCGTATCAGGATTATGAATGTGAAACAACGTGCACACGAATCAAGATTAGGAATGTGAAACAACGTGCATACGAATTAAGATTAGGGATTTCTAACTGCGGATAGGGATTATGAATGTGTAAATCAGGATTATGAATGTGGAAATCAGGATTATGAATGTGGAAATCAGGATTTGAATGTGGAAATCAGGATTATGAATGTGAAACTACTTGTATGAGAATCCGGATTATGAATGTAGAAATCAGGATTGTGTACGCGATAAAACGTATCAAGACAAATCATGTTTTTCCCGCGCGATTCCCAAACCCAGGATGTAGATAGGGGATGTGAGGGAACATTACAATTAAAGCTACAAGCGTCGTATCGTCGGCCGGTGAATGACCGTAAACTGGCCGTAGAAAACCCGCCTAAAATTTGCGGTCACATACCACGGCAAGGAAATTCTCCCCGACAAAAGCCATGTGTAATTGAGAAGCGGGAGGCCAAAGCGATGCAAGTGCTGTGAATAAGCATTGAAGTTACCCGACTTTAGGTAAAGACATCCTTGAATTGAGGTCCACTCAGCAATAGGACGGGAGTGAGTAACATGATCGATGGTGCATATATATAGGTTATCCTTATATTTATAAGGGTACATTCATAGGTCTTCGATGGTGCATATACATAGGTTCTCCTTATATTTATAAGGGTACATTCATAGGTCTTCGATTGTGCATATACATAGGTTCTACTTATATTTACACGGGTACATTCATAAGTCTTGCTTATATTTCTATGAGCAGATCGATGGTGCATATACATAGGTTCTCCTTATATTTATATGGGTACATTCATAGGTTTTGCTTATATTTCTATGGGCATAAACGAGGAACTACTTATATTTATATGGTTATATTAATAATTATACGCCTTACATATCTATGGGTATGGTAATAAGTTGTATTTTGATTTCTATTGGTATATTTATAGAAACTAATTACTTTTTATGTGTATATACAGAGGTACTACCTACATTTCAATGGATATATTCCTAGGTACTGATTACATTTTTATGCGTATATAAGTATAGTTTACTACTTATATTTCTATGAGTATATACGTAGTTACTTCTTATATTGCTATGCGTATATACGTAAATACTACTTGTATTCCTACGGGTATATACGTAGTTAATACTTATATTTCTATGGGTACATACGTAAATACTACTTATATTCCTACGGGCATATACGTAGTTACTACTTATATTTCTATGGGTACATACGTAAATACTACTTATATTCCTATGGGCATATACGTAGTTACTACTTATATTCCTACGGGCATATACGTAGTTACTACTTATATTTCTATGGGTATATACGTAGTTATTACTTATATTTCTACGGGTATATACATCATAAATACGTCTTCAGAGCCCCAAACACGAACTCGTTTTCTGAACAAGAAGCCTTCACAGAACGACATCGAGAGAGACCATCTTACCATAGATGAAATATCACAGTCTAGACATCATAATTACTTTAAAATTATATACAACACAGTTTGGGCTTCATATTCAACGATCCTATACGATAACTACCGGACATATATTACATCATGTCTCTGACGAGGAGTGAGAAGACTCTTCTCATTAGACAGTTAAGCAGGAAGAAATTTAAGAGATTTATTTTAAAGAAATTATGATAATGTTAATGAGGAACTGCAGGATATAAGACATTACTTGTATAATGGCAATAACAGAATGTCCATGGAAATTCTTTTGCTCCATCTAAATACAACTTAAAACGAGCACAACGCCTTTAAATGAAACAATTTTTTTTATTTTGGTGCACTGCTTCCGAAATTCATAACAATCACAGCTGAGATATACAACAATATAAGAGATCGCAACTCGGAACTCCTATCTTGAAAAAGGTTAGTATTGTGTAAAGATACACTACAAGGTTAGTATTGCATAAAGATATGTAAAAAGGTGAGTATTGCATAAAGATATACAACAAGATGAGTATTGTATAAAATATGCAAGATGGGTATTGTATAAAGTATGAAACAAGGTGAGTATTGTATCAAGATTTATGTAAAAAGTATTGTATAAAGATAAGCGACAATTTATTCTCTCACAAGGAAGAGTGCCTAGATCGTACAACTATTTTGCATACGCATTGTAAACCTTAAATTTATCAAAGTGTACTGCAAATTTTGTCCAATACTGCCGAATTGGAAGGAATATCACGTAATTAATTAGTAATAACCTCCCTACGAAAATAAAATAACAGTTCTACATAGTATAATTTCTCTACAGTAAACAACAATTATTCTTAATAAAGGAAGCGCATCAGATATTCTAATATACGTTAAGTTAGAACGAAGAAAATTAACGTGAAGTTAATTGTAGTTAATAGTTAATAATAGTTAAAATATAATTGTAATAGTACAATAATATTAATAATAGCACAATAGTTAATTGTATAGTAATAGTAATAACGAAAACGCGAAGTCACGGTCGGACAGACGGACATAACGAGCACAATAGCGCCTTTTTTCCATAAATGAAAAAATGCGCTAAAAAGCTAAGTAAATCAAGAATAGTTCGGAAATAATAACCATTTCTCCCAAGTATGACTTTGAGTGCCGTACATTTGCTAGGAAACAAGTAAATGATTTCTGTGCTCAGTGCTGAGGCAGACCTACGGGTCTACGAGGGTCTACGAGGGGCTTGGGAAGAAGGGTCTGCGAGACCCAAGCTGCCGGGAGGGTCTACGAGACCCAAGCTGCCGGGAGGATCTACGAGACCCAAGCTGCCGGGAGGGTCTGCGAGACCCAAGCTGCCGGGAGGGTCTGCGAGACCCAAGCTGCCGGGAAGGGTCTGCGAGACCCAAGGTGCCGGGAGGGTCTGCGAGACCCAAGCTGCCGGGAAGGGTCTGCGAGACCCAAGCTGACGGGAGGGTCTACGAGACCCTAGCTGACGGGAGGGTCTACGAGACCCAAGCAGCCGGGAGGGTCTGCTAGACCCAAGCTGCCGGTAGGGTCTACGAGACCCAAACTGACGGTAGGGTCTACGAGACCCTAGCTGACGGGAGGGTCTGCTAGACCCAAGCAGCCGGGAGGGTCTACGAGACCCAAGCTGCCGGGAGGGTCTACGAGACCCAAACTGCCGGGAAGGTCTACTAGACTCAAGCTGCCGGGAGGGTCTACGAGACCCAAGCTGCCGGGAGGGTCTACGAGACCCAAGCTGCCGGGAAGGTCTACTAGACCCAAGCTGCCGGGAGGGTCTGCGAGACCCAAGCTGACGGGAGGGTCTGCGAGGCCCAAGCTGCCGGGAGGGTCTGCGAGACCCAAGCTGCCGGGAGGGTCTGCTAGACCCAAGCAGCCGGTAGGGTCTGCGAGACCCAAGCAGCCGTGAGGATCTGCGAGACCCAAGCAGCCGGGAGGGTCTACTAGACCCAAGCAGCCGGGAGGGTCTGCTAGACCCAAGCTGACGGTAGGGTCTGCAAGACCCAAGCTGCCGGGAGGATCTGCGAGACCCAAGCTGCCGGGAGGGTCTACTAGACCCAAGCAGCCGGTAGGGTCTCTTTAAAACATGCAAGGATGGAGCGGCGACATCCACGCACTCGCTCTAGATCTCACCTTCAAAGCCAGCAATATGGAGGGCAATGAATAGAAGGTATTTTTAATACGTTTTTCTTAGCTTAGCTTCGCGTTTATTTGTTTGTTTGTTTATTTGTTTGTTTGTTTGTTTGTTTGTTGTTAACATTGGCAACGAAAATTAGCCCACTTCTGATTGTTCTAGAGATCTGAAATTCGGCATGCAGGCTATTTTCGCCTAACAATTTCAGATACAATCATAAAAACTAGTAATTAGAGACCGAAATTTGTTTAATTGAGTAAAGTATATATATAGTATATATATATAGTATGACGTGCGGGCGCTCACGTTATAGACGAGCAGGCGCTAACGCTGCGTATCATCGATACGTACCTCAAGTCATACTTAATCAAGTCCTAATCGTTTTTCTTGTGGACTAAAAAGTAGAAAATAAAATACTTGAAAAAACTTTTTAAAAAACCACGTTTTTCTTGTGGACTAAAAAGTAGAAAATAAAATACTTAAAAATACTTTTTAAAAAACACGTTTTTCATGTGGACTAAAAAGTAGAAAATAAATTATGGCTCGTCCCAAAAAACGTGGGTCGGGCAGATTTATGATTAAAGCGAAAAGCACACAACACACGAATTTTGGAAATTTGATGGTGAACGTACAGCCCGACCCACGTTTTTTGGGACGAGCCATAATTTATTTTCTACTTTTTAGTCCACATGAAAAACGTGTTTTTTAAAAAGTATTTTTAAGTATTTTATTTTTGTAAAATACCGTCACTACATTATTGACAGGAATAATATTATAATATTGATATTATAATATTAAGAAAGGAGGGGATACCTCACGAACAGGAGGAATACTATGCCAGGAATGAGTCAGTCAGGAGTTTTTCTTTTAAATCAAATCTTAAATCTTTTAAATCTTCCAACATATCTTATTAAAAGAAAAAATAATGAAACGGCATAGAGTTACGCATTACTAACTAAATATTGCTAGCAAACCCCATAAACTCAGTTGCACGTCATATACAACACTCAAGATCAGTAACTATTGACTATTAGAGGTCGGTGAAAGTGACAAACAATGGTTGAGAATGCCGAGTTGATCTTTTGTCGCCGATTTTGAGACTGTTAATAACATTTAAATTTTTCAAACGTCCTTGAAGTTTCAACAGCCGCGACGATGTCGTTTAAATGCATGGATATCCCTACATAGTTCAAGTGGAACAAATATGTCATTATAAATGCAGGGAAGTTTGGACCAATACCATCAGTTTGAACTTTCCTGGCTGGCATTGGTTACAAAGTAGAGCAATTACTGCAGGCTTGATACCAGCAAGTTGATAAAATAAATATATTAAAATAAATAATATTAAAATATAAAAAAATATAAATATAGAAAATATAGAAAGACTAGAAGGGCAGTTCTAGTCTTCTACCTACGACGCAAGTTGTCGAAATTGCACAGAGCATCCAACACGAAAAGAAATAATTTTATTCAATATAAAATTATATTTAAAAATATAGAAAAGGTTTGGGGGCAATGAAATGTTCCGGGAGCAAGCAAGCAGCAAGATGTTTCTGGAGTACCTACATGAAAATCGTGTATAAAATTTAATTTGATGTTTGACAATGGAACTTCTCATTTGACGCACATAATTCCAAAATAGTTAAATAGTAACATAATTTTAACGTTCTGGTCTCGTGAGATGAAAATCGTGTTTCAATTTCAAGCTGATGTTCAGAATAAACATTCGTATTTGCTGCACATGAAATTCCGATATAGTTCCAAATAGTACCGAAATTTGACCATTCTATCAAAAACCTAAAGCGAGGAAAAAATTTGCCTATTCATTTATTTTATTCATATTTATAATTAAATTTATTTATTTTATTTATATTTATCGTCTGACCAAATATTGTGTTGTGTGCCTCCTTACTTTAAATTGTGCTTCCAAAGAGCACGGTTACTTAGAGGGAACGATGCAGAAAAAGATTTTAGCACTCAGAGACATTCACTATATTTCACACCAAATAGTATTTTAAATTAATACATTCGGGAGTTCAGTTCGAAATCAGGTCGCCCGTTCTAGAATACGGGACCGGCGATTTTGCCTTGTAGAAAAAATTTACATCTTGAAGATTTATACAAAATGTTAGCAATATTTTTAAGAAATTAATGATATAAAGAAGTAAATCTTCTAGGCCATGCCAGAAAACCATTAATTTCAAGAAGTGCAGCGATCAAAGAAGGCTCCAATTAAGATGTTATCGTAAAATAGGTACGGTCCCGACCATAGCGATCCAATCTGATGTCAGGATAGATAAGCCCTGAAGTAATTAAGATGTCCGAGAAGTGCTTGTCTTTTGTCAAACATTAATCTGTCTCCTTATCTTCGCGTACTGGCATTTCAGAATAAAAATAATCCATAGACTGGGACATAAATATAAAAGGTGCACTTGAGCATGGGATATAGAAATAAAAAATGCTACATAAATATAGATTTAGAAAAAAATATGCACCTGAGCAAGGGACGTCGAAACTATTAACTATATAAAAAGTATAACCGACTATTTAACGTTTAGCAAACAATGTCGTCTCTAGTCTCAAAATTTCCAAGAAATTGCTAGGTTTGTTAATAAAAGATACATACAGAGCTGTTTCAACCAAATTAACATCTAGACGAGATGGAAGCTTATGAGGTACTGTACAAATTACATAGATTGAAACTGAAGGGGAGAGACAAGGCGAAGTTCGTGAACTATGTTGGCCTTGATTCTATATATACTAATGAAAAAAAAACATTGCATTGGAAAACCGAACTGGATGAGAGACGGAAAATTAATGTAATTAAGTTTCCATGTGATTAATGTCAATTGTTTAAATAAAAACAAATTCCTGTTACAAGCTGGTTCAGAAGAGGAGACCGAAAATTTTAATAAGCTTTAAATTCTGAAAAGCTACTTACAAGTTACATTTCGGATTGATAGGTAAAATGTCCATACAATATATTTTTGTAACATAAACTTAAATGGAGCGTATACTACCTTATAGCCTATGATGAACACTGCAGGCTTGGTAAGCAACATCTATACATATAGGGCGGACTGGTTATTATAACATATAACCGTCATTATAGGGAAAGCAACATATATAACCGCTATTATAGGGAAAGCAACATATATAGGGCGGACTGGTGGTATAACATATAACCGTCATTATAGGGAAAGCAACATATATAGGGCGGTGCGTAACATCTACAATGTTGTAGGAGGAATGGTTAACATTGAAAATGAATTATAACCTTTTTCACAAACGTATAGCTTTGATAATCGAGGGATCAAGCTAAACACAAAATTTGCGATAAATTTATTGAACGGCGCAGTTTCGAATTCAAAATTTCGAACGGCGAAATATTTTGAACGGCGGAGTTCCAAAACATCAAGATTGAGCAACGAAAGTATATTTTTAATAGCGTTGTAGCAAATAAATTCAAATACATGCAACTTCTTTCCAGTCGGAAACTTATTTATACTTCTCAGTGTTACAAATTATACTTTTACCAACTTCGTTGCCCAAAAAGTATAAATTTTTAGCAAATTTGTTACTCCGTAACGTAAAGAGAAATAAATAAAACAATAGTTAATTAAATAAGTGTTTTTAAGAGTAAGAAAAACGTTAAACGAAACAATATGATTTAAGAAGTGTTTTTATTATAGTCCCTCGACTCCTTGCCTGCGTTCGGGTTCCCAAGTCGACGTTTCAAGTTTTCATTGAAAACTCGAATCTACAGGCGCTCAATAAAATTCACTGAAGTATGCCGGAGAGGTTTAGCACCCCATCCACATTTACATAAGACATCGAGTCGCCATGATAAGATTAAAGCATTTCAGCTGGGCTAGGGACCGTCCGACACGGTGAACATGAGCTCTTAGAAGCCTGCCCGCAAAAATCGATAGAGCCGATCCAGAAATCTTACTCCAGCTGGAATAGTATTTCTAGTTAGTTCAAACAGTGGGTTTCTACGTAAAAATCGTAATTTTTAACAAGTATAGTAGAGAAATAGTAAAAATAAATAACTGTGAATAACATCAGGTTAATATATAAAACTTTTCAGCCAATAACAGCAAGATAAACCCACCTCTAGTAGTCAGTGGCAGAGACAAACGCTACTCGGCTACACACATCCTCACCTCACCAGACTCATATCACTACTGAGCGCTGTTCTAGAATTGCGGACCCCGAAGACTCAAATCAGCCGCTCTCCTCCCGCGCAAAATTTCAGTTTCAGGGCTAAACTACTGCGCACTTTTATTAGTAGTATATTAATAATTTAATAGTATATCCTTACAACGTGGGAAACAGAACTAACAACCTGTGGTATAATTCATGTATTTTATCCTGTTTTTGTGATCGTGAATAAAAGGAAAATATAGTTACACAGAATTTGCAGATTTAGCTTCCCAGTTATAAATAAGATCGCTTACGAACATTTGACGGCGCAGTTCTGTTTAATTATTTTATATATTCAGATTTTTTTTATCTATAACTTATATATCAATACGTTTGATTATTCATCGCAATGGATCACTTCAACTATATATGGACTAAGATCGACTGCAGCTGATGAGTGGTGTAAAAATATTACCCTAATTATTACGCTGAATTGGTTGCATTGATTTCATTTTGCACACAATTTACAATTCTGTTAAAAATATACGATTAGATGACTGAATTTCTACATATGAAACTTTTTATTTTATATGTTTTTTTAAAATACAGGAAATTATTTTAATCTGATTTGCAGGGATAAACACGTAGTTAAACTATGAATAGATAAGTAAACCATGAATCCTGGCGAAACAATCGACACGTGAAGAAGCTTCCACGCCCGGCGCCCACGCATGGCTCGTCTGTAATCTTGCTTGCTTGTTTCCTTCAATAATTTGTTCTAGTAATCTTTATCCCGC